TCTTTCTCTCTCTCTCTTGCGCGCGCGTGTATGTCTTTGTTTTCTCTTTTGTCTTTGTATCCTGCCTGTTTATTCCATCCCAATCCTACTTTAGTCAGAGGAGGAGATTCTAAGAGCGGGAATTTGAGGACAAGGCGAATGAGAAGGAGGGTACCATTGTGTTTCTACAATATTCCAAAGAAAAAAAAAAGCCATAAATGCTGGAGATTGTAAACAGTGGTAAACTTTTTAGCGTGCGTATATAGGCACATGGCCACGTTTGTCTGCAGAAACGGAAAAAAAGTTTGTTATTTAAAGTAAATACAAAATGGTACAGTAATATACAGGGAACGAGGTCCTGCGTTTCGTGTAACTTACAAGAGTCAAGTCACCGTAGATATAAGGCGAAGAACGCTGCTATCTCATTATTATTTTTTTTATCATTAACTGGTGTGTCATTATTAGACATGTGCTGTTTCTAGCGTACCGTTACAATTAATGTGTCGTTGGCTGAGAAAGTTTTATGTGGGGTCGTTAAGTGTGAGGAAAGCGATATCTACTGTGTTGGTCGTGTTAACTGAAATTTAAAGGGCTCGTTGCTTCTTAAGACACATTTATAAAATATGCTTTTGATCTCCATCTATCTATTCGAAAGATGTAAGCGACTTCCAAGGTCTACACCATATTCAGATATTGAAGATTTAAAAATTTGAATGACATATCTGTCCAACCTATTACGTCCGCGGCGTGTTTTTGGATACTTATGGCTGGTCCTTGAAGGTGGATTCACACTGCACAATATCACTAGACAACTGGTGACGAAAGCATTGTCGTGGGTGGGGATGGGAGGTTGGGGGGGGGGGGCATTTAAAAGAGCGTTTCCTCATGTAACACTTATCTAGTTCTAAGGTGTTTTTTTCTTACTATTTCTAAAGAATTTTATTCTGTCTTGTATCATAACGTTATTTGAAATATAGTTGAGTTTTTTCCAATAGCTGTTGAAAGGGAGTTCTCGACTTTTCTTTTAAAACGAAGGTGTTTTATGTTTCTCCAGCTTGGAGATGCTGTCAGCACATTTACTGTTATTGTCTGTGTACTGGTGAAACTATTCTGCCCCGATCAATAACTGTTGATTTCTTTTAAAGTGTCGTTGAATTTCTAAGGCTGCGTTTCTCCCCACTCCCTCCGTTTGTCATCTCTTTTCCTTTGAAATCTCTCTCTCTTCTTCTACCCCCCCCTCCCATACGGACGCATACACATACTATCACGCGTGCGCGCACGCACGCACACGCACGCACACACACATACACACAAATACACACACACTCACCACACACGCACACACTTGCATGCACTCAAAACTGTTCGTTGTCTTTACGGAACACTCATATCTATCTATCTATCTATCTATCTATCTATCTATCTATCTATCTATCTATCTATCCATCTATTTATCTGTCTGTCTGTCTGTCTGTCTGTCTGTCTATCTATATACTGTCTCTTTGTGTATGTGTGTGAATGTGTCTGTCTGTCTGTGTGTCTGTCTGTCTGTGTGTGTGTCTGTCTGTGTGTCTGTCTGTCTGTCTGTCTGTCTGTCTGTCTGTCCGCCGTACCTCACACTTCACTTGTTATTCCCCTCCCGTCCTGTCATCCTCTTTCCCACGTCTACGCTCAAATCAAATTACTCAAGTCAACCCGGTGACGCGTGTGAGGAGCCCTCACTGCACCAGTCCACTGACACCTAAAGGCGTGAGAGCTTCCAGTACAGTCCACTTGAGTGCACCCTCCCGCTCCTTCTACTGAAGCTGACAAAACTGTTTTGACTGAATTAACATGCCTGGCCCGGAGACATCTTTCCCCCTAGTGCGACCTATATATAGAAAGTAGACCAGTGGTTGGGGGGGGGGGGGGGGGGGGTCAGCGTGGCATGGCATTTCGGACCCTTCTCTTCGCTGGAATGCGGCGCTCGCGGTTTCGATTTGCACAAAGTGATTTCCAGGAAGTTTTCACGGCTCCTGTTTCTGAGTCGCCGCATTGAAGACATAAACTACTAAAGGATGTTATACGCAGCAGATTGACCTGTCTGTTTTGGAGCAGTCAACCATGCGCTTATCGAGACCCACGGTTTTCTTTGTACGGTAGTTTGAGGGATTGAAAAGTAAGAAGATGGACGTCAGGCATATCTGTATGCTTTTTATCCTTATGATGACTCCGGGTGATTACATAACCGACTAAATAATACCAAAAAAAAGAATAAACAAAGCAAAACCAAACACTAAAACAAACCAAACCCCAAAACAAACAAACAAACAAACAAACAAACAAAACAAAACAGCAACAACAAAAACAACAGCAACAACAACAACAGCAACATCGACAACAACAACAACAACAACAACAACAACAACAACAACAACAACAACGACAACGACAACAACAACAACACCAACAAGCCACCACGAGAAGTTAGCATACAGGCAGGGCGCTTTCTTCATTTGAAGAATTTATGAGTCGCAAGAGGGCCTTGGCCAAACTAAGAGTTCTCTATTGTTGTGGGAGTAGAAAGACTCTGACCGTATAATAGTGACCGTATAATAGGACATTGAGAGTGAGAGAAGTCAGGAGTATGAGTATGTGTCACATTGTTATCTAAGTTCTGAGTGCTGTATTTCAGTTCCGCGTGTACGTACCTCAAACAGTGAGTGCCGGAAAAACGCCTTTGCAATAAGAAAGCTTTCTTTTCTTGCCGAATCTTTCTTTTACTGGAAATTCAAAGCAGCCTTAGATTACACTTTATTGTAATGCCAGGACCAATAACAAGACTACATCTGTCCATTTCCACGTTTGGCACATAAGGCATGTGTGAGCTCAATAGAAAAATAAGTGTTTCTATGTTTGCCCATTCCAGTCAAACAAGCAGCTGCAATAATTGATTTTAGCACTTTCATTTGGGTAGAATGTTGAACTTTCTTTCTGGGTCGTGGCCGTTGGCCTAACCATGTGTCGGAAGCAATTCACAGAATCCTTTTTGCCGTTATCTCATTTAAAATGTATTGACAGCTTTCATTTTCAGGCAACTTCATAGAATATGAGATAAAAATCCGAGCTGCCTACTTTGCTCGCTCATATTTTTCTGTGCTTTCTTCTGGTCATACAGAAGAAAACATATTTCTCAGTCTGCAGTTCGTATCGCATTATTTAACATGGTGGGTTCCCAAAGTATCATAAAGGATTCTTCAAAACGAGGAGCCGTTTTCAGGTGTTCCCTGCCCTTTAGTCTCGGGTGCACTTTTGTTGGTGATTGTCATAACCATTAGTCGGTCTTCGTTGCCAGAACGTCATTCATCATCATCCAGTGCCAGATCTGCGACAGACATCGGCGATTATGGTTTTCCATTCATTCATTTGCTCGGATGCTCTCAAAAAAGCACTTTTCCATGACTATTCTTGGGACATTACAGCAGTGGTTTCCCGTTGCCAAGTGCCGGTTTGCGTAGTTTCTCTGCTAGACTTTGTCATCCTTTGACAACCCACAAGGCAGTGGGGGCTTTGGTAGGATTTATGGCGCCTCCCGTCGCCAAGATGGTCCCTTCTTCGACTGTGCGAGGTATTTATTGAAGCACCTGTGCCACCAGGATTCCCTTCTACTCTCCACGACCATCTCTCATTTGGTTCGCGAATGCTTAGCAGCTAACCTCCATATCTGGAGGCCTTTCCCCTATCCACCACCCGGGGACGCGCTGGGCTGGGTATAAGGACCCAATACTAAATCTTAGTACTTCTCAGAACGTCAGTAATGATGTGAATATCAGTTTGGTGTACATAAATCATAAACCATTCGCTTGGCGCTGTAGATCTTTCTTGAATGCCCTACCTTAGTCCTCATAATAATCTTTGCCTTTCCATTTGCAAGTGCTTGGGAAGTGGTGTAAGCTGCCTTCCCATTACTTAAAATACACACATGTTCCAAATGAGACTGCCCTTTTTTCTTTTGTTGATGTTCTGTATCATCAGTATTGTCAAGCGTTATAAAAAAAAAGAAAACCTAATTAATCGTTTGTAACGTTAGTTTGTCATCAGTGTATCGTGCCCTTCAAGAACGCATATGGCGTGTTATGATTTTGCATTACATTGTAGCTGTTCGTTTTGAATTCTGCACAATTCACTTTAGTCGAGGCCTAATAGTTATAGCGAAGTGATTCATATTATGCCCGAGAATTTTCTTGAGTTGTGCTACAATGCTCAGAACTTTTGGGTCATTCTCCGGCCTCGAACTGGCAGGGTCTATTCAGTAATAACTATGTGTGCCCTTCATTTAGTAGAGTGAAGCCTCTTTAACCTTTGTTTGACCAGAGTCCGGGTTGCAGTCTGCTTATCTTGGCCAGCAAAGACGCTCGTTGATTACAGCGGTGGAGGACTAGTGATAGCGTTGACACGTCCTTATGTCCTCACGCATTGACCTCTCCTTCCGTCTTTTCACCACGCCACCCCAATATATTTACAGTCTCAAACCTGCCACCTCCACCCCTTTTTCTAAATCTCTGTCCATTGATTCCCGATTACCGGCCCGACTAAATATAGCCCCTCGTGCCTGTAGCCATCTGCTCATTGCATTGTCGCCGCTATAATTGATACCGCCCTGGTCCCCACTGCAGGAGCCATATTGTCATCGGGAGCGAATCGATAATCGCCGAGATTTTAGCCTCTAAATACCCTTAAGCTCCATCTTTTTGGCGAAGCTGAAGGAGAGGGATTGAGTCCCAGTGGTGGCCTCGCTCTACCATGGTCCATGCTGCCTGCCGGAGACCCCAGCCGCCGGAAGCGAGGACCGCGCAGATTTGGGCGACCGTCGAGCGCTGTGAGACGGAGAGCATAGTGTCAATCAATTCTTGCTGCAAGGAAGCTGATGCCGGATTTCACGCTTCGCGCTCATGTCATTAAAATAAAGAAGCTGGGAGTCAGAGTTAAAAAAAAAGAAACTATTAAAATTTACAAGAGACAGGAACAAAGTAAAGGGAAAAAAAACCCCCAGTTTTACTTTTATGTACTACCGTGCCCCCCGCTCTGCTCGTCCAAGCAATCGCCACTGTATTGATGTTCTGGAAATAATGTCTTTGGAAGTGTTTTGCGGCATTTTAAAACTTTCTTTTAAGTCATTTAGACAATTCCTGTGCTTGGTTTCTTTGTTCAGTTCTTCATAAAATCTCTTTTTTAACTTGTGCATTCATTTACTCCCCGCGGATCCCCTTAACATTTTTTTTTAAGCTTTGGTTCTTTAGTTTCTTACATTATATGTCCTCTTCGTTTTATTTTACCTTTATCGTGCATGTTTGTACTTGTGTCGTGTGCTCTTGTGTATGATGTGTGTTTGTGTGCGTGAGCGCTCTTGTGTGCGCGCGCGCGCGTGTGTGTGCGTGTGTGTGTGTGTATGAGGGGAGAGTTGTAGCTGACGTAGCTTTAATTTTTTAAAAAGTAGTCCTTTAGTTTACACTTTACACTGTAGAGAATTCTGGCTCTCATAAAAACAAGCACCTTTCTCTGATCAACTGAGAACTGCCACCTTGCTAATCACGACAGAGTTGAACATGAAATTAGGGCAGTTAAAATAAAATAAAAGCTCAACGAAATAAATTGAAGGTTTTCCCATAAATTGCAGTCTTCGATTTTTCCAGCAAACCATGACAAATCTATTGATTACGGCCGCTCTCTGATATGGCTGCCCGAAAGCCTTGACAAATCTCACAAACACTGTTGATTTAGATGAAGAGATTGATCGTACATATGTTTTACACCCATTGACACGAATTTGATCTAGTAGGAGAGGGGCTGCTCGATCCCTGCTTATCAGGGCAAAACGGGGATGAACGGGGCACAGCATCCCAACAGACACGTGGGCATATTCTAAAGCGTAGAACTCACTTTTTCTGCGTGCAACGGCTTAGAGCATAGCAGTTGAATCACATAGGCTGATGTGTGTGTGTGTGTGTGTGTGTGTGTGTGTGTGTGTGTGTGTGTGTATGTATATCAACACAATATTTCCCTCTCGGATGAATATATCCTGTTTTATCTTATCTTATCTTATCTTATCTTATCTTATCTTATCTTATCTTATCTTATCTTATCTTATCTTATCGTATCGTATCGTATCTTATCTTATCGTATCTTATCTTATCTTATCTTATCTTATCTTATCTTATCTTATCTTATCTTATTTGACCTTATCTTTTCTTATGTGAGTGTGTGTTAAAGAGAGAAAGACAAATACTGAGATAGAAAGAGGGGAGATAGATATTAAGAGGGGAGAGGGAGAAGGGGAGAGAGAGAGTGAGTGAGAGAGAGAGTGAGAGAGAGAGTGAGAGAGAGTGAAATAGAGAGTGAATGAGAGAGAAAGAGAGAGAGACAGAGAGGGAGAGAGAGAGAGAGAGAGAGAGAGAGAGAGAGAGAGAGAGATGGGAAAAAGGGCACGCAAGAAGTTAGGCAAACAGCTTACGTACTTGAGTTTTAATGAGAGAAATAATATTTCCAGTTTTAATACCAAAGTTCTGAATTTTCTTGACTTACAACGTATTATCCTCTGCGACTGTTTATCGAGTGTCAGATGTCCGTCTGGCCGGCAGAGGACTCGGTCAAAGCATTAGCGCGAGGCAATTAGATGCTTGAACTACGTACTTTGCACATACTTACTCGCAGAATCCCCATATCACTTGCTAAATCAATACAGTGAGTCTGGTACTTTGCACATCCTCGAAAATGGCGTTTACAACCTGAATAAATGGTCTTTCGTTCCATATTACGCTTGGCCTTACGCTGTGAAATAAAATTGTGAGATATGTACATGTATATGTGAATTTAGTACATTTTATACAGACATATATATGTATATATATA